GTCTGGACAAATTTTGTGCATAATTCAGGCAATCGTGTTTGTTATCAGGGAAATGCCTTTTCATGGCTGGGTTTTGTTCTTCCCCTCCTCTTCCTTGTCCCAGGCCTGGAGGAAGTAATAATCACAATGCTGTATTTTGCCCTCTTAACTCTTTCTCAGAAAGCTGACAAGGTTGTGAAATACCATCCCTGTGAATAAACAGCTCTGGGGGAGCGGGTTCCTGCCTGCGGCTGCCAGCACAGCCCTGCGGAGCCAGGGACAGGATCTGTCTCCCCATTAGGAAGCAGTCACGGGCCCGTTGTCCCACTCCCTGCAGGCTCAGTTCTTGCTCAGGAGGCTTCATTCTGTGAGGCAGATCCCCAAACCCCTATGGCCTTAGGGCAAAACAAGCCTGGTGGATATTATTGCCTTCTCTGCCCTCACCGTGTCTCGTGGTTGGTGACCCTGGTGGCCTCTGGGCTGGGAACAATGCAGGGACATCCCAGGAGAAGCACGTGGCACTGGGATGCTGGGAGGGAGAAGTGAAGATGCTCGGGTGGGTGCAGATGCATTTGCTGTGTCTCAGAGGTGCCGGGGCTGCAGGAAGCCCCACTTCCAAAGGGGATGGAGTGTCCCAGGAGGGCAGAGGCGAGGGATGAGGGATGGGAGGCAATGTATGAATCACTGCTCATGAGACCAACTGTACCCCAAAAGAAAGGACCCCAGGGCAAGAAGCAAATGCAGGTGCCACATGGGTGACAAAACTTGTCCCTTTGATCCATCATCTTCCACAGGAGAGTCTTTTTTTGCTTTTGCTTTAATTTTCCTTCATTTGTGTGTGTGTGTATGTGCATAAAATGCCACTAATGACAAACTGTAGTGCCTGGGAGTGAGTGACAGCTGAAATAAGAGAAATGACTAATCGGGCCTCCTGAAGCCCTGTCGCATGGAGATTAAATGAGCCCTTTTTTCATCCCCCCTCAATGAGAATCATGGGCATTTGAATAATAATATTATAGCCTCCATTAGGATGACAGTGGGGGAAAAAAATCAGCTCAGAGCTGTGATTATTCCTTCAATCTAATAATTATTTAAATACCAGATAACTCCTTTCAGCTTAATTGAGGCCTTTCAGCTGCTTGGGTTTATATTGTGTCCCTGAATTTACTCTCTCTTTCACCTTGTGTTACTAATAGCTTTAGATTGCTTTGAAGGCCATATTTTAAACTGGCTTCCAAAAAAAAAAGAAAAAGGAAGAATTAATGGTCAAATAGTATTAAGGATCAGAGTTAAAATTGCCTCCTCTCCTGTTTGCCTGGTGTTTAACTCCCCAGCTGCACCCAGCCATCCCCAAACTCCTCTGCAGGGCACGCAGTGGGTTTATGCTGATGGTTGATGTCTATCATAGAATGCATCAGATGGTTTGGGGTTGGAAGGGAGCTTAAAGTTCCTGCAGCTCCAACCCCTGCCACGGGCAGGGACCCCTTCCACTAGAGCAGCTTGCTCCAACCCCTGTGTCCAACCTGGCCTTGAGCACTGCCAGGGATGGGGCAGCCACAGCTTCTCTGGGCACCCTGTGCCAGCGCCTCAGCACCCTCCCAGGGAAGAGCTTCTGCCCAAGAGCTCATCTCAGTCTCCCCTTGGGCAGGTTAAAGCCCTCAACCTGCTGCTCACGCTGCTTCATCTGTATTCTTCACCCACGTGTTGCCCCAGCTCTGGGCTAGTGGGGACCTGGTAGGAGCAGCTCCTGCAGTGGGTGACCTGGAGTCAGGGATGGATCATTTCCCCTTGGCTTGTTCATGTAGGATGTCAGCTCATGGCCGTGCTCTGTTGTCTTCAAATGATGTTTGAAAGTGCAGATTCCTCTTCCTGGATGATTTCTCCTGCCTTTGGCAGTGACTGTTCGCAAATACTCTGCAAAACCTTCTCTGCAAGGCACCGCATAGGAGCGAGGCTTCACTGACAGCTCTGCTGCACCCACAGCCCCAGCCTGGCTCTGGCTTTTATACTGTTCCTGAATGAAAACGTTGCTGGGAGGGATATAAAACTGCTGTGGCCTACGTGAAGAGCTTCTGTTGGCCCATATGTATATCACCTTCAATTATTTAAATGTATTAATTTCTAGCTTGCCCTGTTCTTTTCTCACTTTGTAATGGAACAACATTTTAAATATTGGAAAGCTGCCGAGCAGGAAAACTGGTGTGTGTGGAGCTGTACAGCAGAGCCTCCTTGTTCCCTGCTGAATCTCTTTTGCGTTCTGGGCTTCTCTGGAATCAGAGCCCTCTGCCCCAGAAGCATCTCTTCCTAAGGAATGAGAAACGGTGGGATGCTTTCTTTTGGGACTTGTGTTATGAGGGATGTTTTGGCCTCGGAGGAGAGCCCATTTGTGCTGCCGAGGGCAGAACCTGTCTTCTCTGTACCCTGTGGTGCTGTAGCCATCACCTCCATGCCCTCCCCAAGGCCAGGGCAGTTGGGTTTCATGTCTGAGCTTTGGGAACAGCAGTGCTCAAGGTTTCTTACATGTTGATGTTGAGGTGCTCTGCCATGACCTTGTGCATTGATCTGAAGGTGCTCTGACACCAGTTCAGATGTTCCTGTATCAGCAGCTCCTGTCCCAGCTTTCTGGATCCCTCTTGAGCTCTCCCATGGTGCAGGGTTCCCTGTGGGGTACAAGATGTGGTACATCTCCCTGCCAGTGAGACCTGTGGCTTATGCTGCACTGCTGTGTTATCCAAGATCAAAGCTGCTGTCTATGATCAGGTTGTTGGTGCCCACCATGGGTCACCAGCAGCCCTCGTGTGTGTGAGCCTTCCTCGGAGCACATCCTCAAGAACCATTTGATTTGTGTTCTGTAGGAAGATTCTGGAGTCAGATAATAATTTTGGGGTGTTCACTTGGGAATTCAATGGGGAGAGCTGGGAAGGTCACCCCGGCACGTTGGGGTCTGCAGCACAGGCAGCTGCTTTTGGCCACAACCATCCGAACAAGGACAAGCATGCAGCAGGGTCTGTGTCCTCACTGGCGGAGAGAGAAACTGCCTCAGCCCAAGGTAGAAATTAAGAGACTGGCACTAAGAAGCAATCAGCTGGGGACCTGTATCTATGAGCAGAAGCAGAAACCCATTACCGCTCTCTTTCTCCTGCCTTGTCAGTGACACGGCGACGTGCAGCCGGGGGCAGAGCTCCTTTGTCCCCTCTCAGAAACACCCGTCTCTGCTTCCCGGCGGTAACAGGCCTGAGGAGCGGCTGTTGGGTGACACTTGCTGACGAGCTCGGTGCAGGTTTGCAGTGCTGGGGTTTGAAATACCAGAATGGAGATCAGCGTCAGCTAAGCCCTGAGAACAGCAGAGCCCGGGCTGTGCTGGGGAGCAGCCTCCTGCACCTGCACACAGGGCAAGGGAGGAGAGTCCAGGTACATCAGCAGGGAGGGCAAATACCTCCCTGGTGTGTGTGCTTGGGGCTTGCATGGCCGTGGTGGGAGGTGATGGGGCTTTGGTGCAGAGAATGCAGGTGAAATGGGGTCTCATCCTCAGCCTCTGTGGTGCTGTAAGGCGGTGGAGAGCATCATTCACCACAGCAGGCTGAAATGGTTCCTGGCTCCAGGCTGGAGCAAGGAATGCATAATTTGAAACAAAGGAGAACTTTGTGATGGCTTTTTTTCTTTTCAGTCCAGACACTCAAATGCATCTTTGGTGATGTGCAAGGCTGAAGTCAAGCCAGGGGTTCAAGTCACGTCAGGTCTGGAGGTGATAACAAGGGTGAGACACAATCCAGTGTCTTGTCTGTGACGACAAGGGAGGTGCAGAGCCCCAGTGCAGGGATGCTCTCGGGGACCTTATGTGGTGCCTGCCTCAAGGCTGGCTCCTCTGAGCAGCTCTGCTGGGTCCTTGCTGCCTGGCAGAGCGCTTGACTGGCATCAATTCCAGCTGCCTTGTAGGAGCCCGAGGTGGAAAGCTCTGATGTGACCACGTCTCTCTCAGCTGGAGCGTCTCTGAGGCGCACACCCACTTCCTAAGGAAATTCCAGCCTGGTGATTGATTCCTGATTCAGGCTGAGAGCACCCGTGTGAGCCGGGAGGATGGGACCCAGCCTCAGTGGGGCTCCAGCTGTCGTTTGGGTCTGATGCTGTGGGAGCACGCACAAAGAGAGCAGCTAAATCTGCCTGTGTGTTGTGCCTTATTTCCACATAGGTTTTGGCAAGAGGTCTCTGCCTCAAGTCTTACCTTGCCTTGTCTTTATGAGTGAGGGCACATCACTCAAAGCATACTCATGTTATCCACAGAGCTATCTCAAACAGCGTATGGACATTTTGGGTGGTGTTGGGTCTTTTGGACCCCATGTTGCTTTGTGTAGGTTTTGTTAGAGCAGGAAATATGTTCAAGGCACCCAGATGGGCAGCCAGGCTTTCCCTGCACACCATGCTTTTGGCAGTGTTGGGTTCCTGATCCAACCACATGCCTCCCACCCCAATGGGAGCAAAGTACCTGATGAAGCCTGAGAAGCACCTTCAGAGCTGCTTCTGGCTCTGGGAAGGGGGGATGCTGGCAGCTTTGGTGTGTATGTGCTCAGTGAACTTGCCTGCGTGAGACTTCTTCCTCAGGTTTCCGAATTAAATCGTAGAGGATGCAAAGGTAGAAAACACCTCTTATTTCCTCCGCTGCTTCCAACAACATACCCTGCAGGAGACATCCTTTTAGCCAAGATTGCAGATTGATGGTTGGGTGTGTGAGCTGCAGGCTTTGTCTTGGGCTGAAGCTGATTATCCCCTCCCATGGCTGAGCAGTGTTCATTAGAAACAGCTAACCCACACAACAAATTAATGTGCAGAGGCTGAACCAAGTGGCAAAGCATCAAGCCTGAGCTGTTTACCAGTAAGTTAGGAGACCTGCTTAATTTTTTGTTGGGCTTAGAGACATCCTCACTTTATCTGAAGGAGTGTGTAATTAGAAAATCTCCTTTGAATTTTATCTGCAGGGCACACTGGATCTAATCCTCTGCTCTCTGATTCTTTTCTTTCCTCAGAACCATGTGAGGGACATTGCTGGGGCACAGGACACACGTAGGGAGCACAAAGTTTGCCTTTCCCAGGATGGATCAGAGGAAGAACTGGCCTCGGGTACTGGACTCTGATGGCTGGTCGGTGGCTTTGTTCTGTCTCTTCCTGGCATCTCTCTCCCGAAACGTGTCCAGCAATGCCTTGTTCAGCACTTTCCACTCTGAGAACCGGGACTGGACGTTCAACCACCTAACAGTCCACCAGGGCACTGGAGCAGTCTACGTTGGAGCTATCAACAGGGTTTACAAGCTTTCCGGTAACCTGACCATTTTAGTAGCTCATAAAACTGGTCCTGAGGAGGACAATAAATCCTGCTACCCCCCCCTCATCGTCCAGCCATGCAGCGAGATCCTCACCCTCACCAACAACGTCAACAAGCTGCTCATCATTGACTACTCTGAGAACCGGCTGCTGGCTTGTGGCAGCCTCTACCAGGGGGTCTGCAAGCTGCTGCGCCTGGATGACCTCTTCATCTTGGTGGAGCCCTCCCACAAGAAGGAGCACTACCTCTCCAGCGTCAACAAGACGGGCACCATGTATGGTGTGATTGTGCGCTCGGAGGGTGAAGATGGGAAGCTCTTCATCGGCACGGCGGTGGATGGGAAGCAGGATTATTTCCCCACCCTCTCCAGCCGCAAACTTCCCCGGGACCCCGAGTCGTCGGCAATGTTGGATTATGAGCTCCACAGTGACTTTGTCTCATCCCTCATCAAAATCCCCTCAGATACCTTGGCCCTTGTTTCGCACTTTGACATCTTCTACATCTATGGTTTTGCCAGTGGCAACTTTGTCTATTTTCTGACTGTCCAACCCGAGACCCCAGAGGGTGTCTCCATCAACTCCGCCAGCGACCTCTTTTACACATCTCGCATTGTCCGCCTCTGCAAAGACGACCCCAAGTTCCACTCCTATGTCTCTCTGCCCTTTGGCTGCACCAAGGGAGACATGGAGTACCGCCTCCTGCAAGCAGCGTACCTCTCCAAGCCAGGGGATGTGCTGGCCAGGTCCCTCAACATCACGGCACAGGAGGATGTCCTCTTTGCCATTTTCTCCAAGGGCCAGAAGCAGTACCACCAGCCGCCCGACGACTCTGCGCTCTGCGTCTTCCCCATCCGCACCATCAACGCTCAGATCAAGGACCGCCTCCAGTCCTGCTACCAAGGGGAAGGCAATCTGGAGCTCAACTGGCTGCTGGGGAAGGATGTCCAGTGCACTAAAGCGGTAAGGGTGCTCTGGCTGTTGGCTGTGGTAGCCTTTGAGAACTGGTATCAGTGACCCTATGGAACATGAGCTTGCAGAACAGGATCACATGTAGAGACAGGACAAGGGGAAATGGCTTTAAACTGACAGAAGGGAAATTGAGATGAGATCTTAGGAAGAAGCTTTTCCCTGTGAACAACCTGCTCTAGTGGAAGGTGTCACTGCCTGTGGCAGGGGTTTGGAACTGGATGTGTTTTAAGGTCCCTTCCAACCCAAACCATGCTATGATTCTGTGCCTCAGTTTCCCTTAACATAGAACAGACCCAGTCCATGGCCTTATCAGAGAGTTATTGATGACAATGAAAAGAAGGGGTAGCACTAAGGTAGATGAATACATGTGTGCAGCTTGCTGGAAGTGTTTGCTGTTCCCAACCCAGAGCTCTGTAAGCAAGAGGAAAGCTCTTGCCTGTCCCTGAGCAGGAGGGTGGTATCAGCAACCTAACAAGATAAATACAAATGGCAGTGACATCTTTTCTGTTCTATTCAGCTGAGTTCTTTAATCTTTATTCACTTGTAGATGGTTCCTGGGATGACTTGGGAATCCCTGGGGCCTTCTTTTGCCAAACATAGTAAGCTTGGCTGCTGAGAAGAGAGAAATATGGGTTAAATGAAATGAAAGAAGGAAGGTGAAGATTATCTTGAGTGCTGGCTTGCACGGGGGAGAGTCATCCCATCAGTTACAATTAGATGTGCCTGAGCATTTGGTAGTTAATGTCCCTTGTGGAAAATAAGTGGACTGCAGTCAGTGTGATGGTGAGCGGCCACCCATGTCCACCCTGCTGCCTGCGCCATGGAGGAGTTCACTTGAGCAATCCCAGCTGATGTGGCTTAATAATACTTTAGCTGTCAGCAGAATGGCTTTTCCCTCGCTTGTAGCAAGTGGTGTTCCAGGGAGAAGCCAGCATCCATATTCCCTGTGTCATAGAAGGGAAACTGAGGCACAGAGAGGTGGTTTGTAGGAGAGTGCACAGCGGAGCGGTGGAAGGAGCAGGAGTGCCTCTTAGTGCTCGGGTGGTTGCTGGAGCCCATTCCCTGGATGGTTATTTACCTTTCCAGGGCAGGCAGGCCGGCACTCCCCACAGCCCCATGGTCACATGGGGAAGGTTTATCTCTGTCCTGGAGCTGAGCCTTTCATGCCAGAGAGAGTGGAAGTGTCTGTGGGACTCAGGGCTCCTCCACAGCCCTGTCCAGACGCCTTTTGGAGCAGCTGCAGCGTGCCTTGGCCTTGGCCATTGGGGAAGGTAGCTGAAGCTGGCAGGGTCCCTGGGCAGGGGGTGGCATGTTGGTGGCTGCCACCCTGCTGTCAGCACCCCTGGCTCCCGTCTGCATGTGTGGGGCTGCCCTGTGCTCTGTGTTTCACTCACGGCTGTCCCAAACCTCGTCTTTCCAGCCAGTCCCCATCGATGACAACTTCTGTGGGCTCGACATCAACCAGCCCCTGGGAGGCTCCACGCCCGTGGATGGAGTCATGCTCTTCACCTCCAGCCGGGACCGGATGACTTCTGTTGCTTCCTATGTCTACAATGGGTACAGCGTGGTGTTCGTGGGGACTAAGACTGGCAAGCTGAAGAAGGTAAGCTTATTTCCATGACTTTGGAGGGCCAGGGTCCAGTTTTCATCTTTCTTGGGAGACTGAGGTGTGTAACTGCTGCTGTGTCCTACAGATGTTTCCCAGTGTGAAACTGGGAGCCAGTCAGGAGCAATAATCACAGGGTTTGGTTCACAGAGAGCCTTGCATTGGTGAAGCAAAGCTCAGTGAGCTGTGGTGTGTGTCTGTGGGGCTATTGCAGAAATGATCAGGGCGATAATGGGCCAGTCTGATTAAAGTGAGGAGCTGGTTTGCAATTTCTGAGTGAACCTCAGCAAGCTGTGTCCAGGGTCTCACATCTTCCCTTCTTTTTGACACGCTGATGGAAATCTTACAGTAGTTCTGAGTTTCCCAGTAATCCTTGTGTAGAAGACCATGGTGGTGGCAGGATGTTTGGCCATGGAGAGATAGGAATGAGTTAACTTGGCTGCTTTTGGAAACCAAGCCTCGGGGCAAAGTCCTACTGCTTCTTTCTGCCTCTTACCTCCTACTCTTCCTTTGACAGTTGGATGATTGATCAGTCTTGGAAGATAACATTCCTCACCCTGTGCATCACAAAGCCGGGGTTAGTTGCCCAGGGCAAAGAGATGCTCCTGCTGGTTTCCTCCCCCAGCACAGGGGATGGGGGGGGGGAAACGGTGAGTTTTAGGATTCTGAAATCCAGCTGGGATTGCCTCCTCTTGGAGTCCTCTGAACAGCTCTGCAGTGTGTGCAGCCCAAAGGCTGGTCAGGCTCGGTCATGCATCTCTTGTGGGCTCCTCACCAGTCCTCCATCAGGAGTTCCATGTTTAAAATGAGGGTGGAATGGCGTTGGGGACTGCAGGCAGAGGTGTGTAAGACTGTTTGTGGGAGCTGCATCTCAGCAGTGGGTGCAGAAGTCAGCTCCAGCAAAACCAGCCTTAGAGGTGTTGCTCTGGAAAGCTGAGATCCTTCAAATTACCCTGAAATAGAAATGACACCATTAAGTGAACCTGCTAAATGCAGACCCTGCTGCTTTGTACCAGGGAAAGAGTTAACAAATGTAATCCACAGCAGGCTGTTAATTTTTTGTGTCCTTAAGCAGCAGGGAATTTCTTCCTCATCTATCCAGGAAGATGCAAGGACAGGCAGATACTACACTTGAATGTCTGCATCATTTTAATTACATCAGTTCATTAATATTCATCCAGCGCTTTGCAAGTGCTGAGTAGTAGTAAATGAGGTGCCTCCCTGGTGCCTCTCCAGCATCAGTGGGACAATTTTGAACATGGGGGAGAGTGAGCTTGTAAAGCAGAGCCCCTCTCTCCTCCCTGCTTGTGTCCCCTGCTGTCACACGTGGGAGCACTGGGATGTTTCTAGCTAAATGGATGGAAGAGGCATCCTTAGCGTATTGCAAATGCATATTCAAGCCAGCTTCAAGCCAGACTTGCAGCCAAGTGCTTGTGTTTGCAGTGTTTTGGGGGGCATTGTGTAGGTACCTTATTTAGAGGCAGTTAAAGCAAACAGCCTGTGCCTGCACACCAGGTATTTACTGTCTTGTGCCATGAATTATGTAGGGTTACAGCAGGAAGGTTTAATTCCTTGTGCTCTTCTGCATTAAGCACCTACCTTTCTGATGCAAAGTTAATCCGTTCATGCCCCTCCACCTCGCTGTCCGGAGTTAGGGCTGCTGGGATCCTTTACCTGTTTGAGACAGTAGTAACCAGGCACTAAGAAAACTGGTTCATCCCATAGCAGATTCATTCCAGGCGCTCACTGCAGGCAGCCTTTCATGGTGCCTGCAAAAATCAGAGCTGCCTGCAGCCGATGAGGCCCATGCCTTGTGTTATTGTTGGCTGGAGTGCCATCCTCCAGTGCATGGGACTGAGGATGATGATGTTCTGTAATCTCGTGGTCCTGTCCTTGCCTTTAATAAATCTTTCCTTATCTGATGCATGGGATTATCTTTTACATGGCCTAAGAGAGACCACAGGAAGCAGCTTTGCACTGAGCTATGGGGCACTTGGGACTCTCTCTGCAGACCCAGTGGGAAGTTAACAGGTTTTCTCCAGTTCTTGTGCATATTCCAAGACCAGACATGTCTGAAAGTCAGGAGTACTCAGGACTGTAAATGTTTCCATATCTTTTTCCCCATATGTGAAAGGAGGATGATAAAAATGTAGGTACCTCTAAGTGCCAGAGATTTGCAGATAGGTTCCTTATCTCCTGCAGCTCACCACCTTGCTTGACTACCTGCACAATTAATGTCTGAAAGCGGCCTCACACCTATTCCCTCTCCCACAGCTGTTGATTTACTTTGGAAACAAGCTGGTGGCTCAGACTGGGGTTTTAAAGAAGATGCTTTTGTGTAGCTGGAGGAAAGGAGTCAAGGAGCCAGCTCTGAAACCTTTCAAATTTGTCTGTGCTTCCCCAGTGAGAATTCATTACTAAAGCTCTGTTACCTCACTGATGTCCTCCTTCCCATTAGCTCTTCACCTGACTGCCTCCTGCACGCTCGCTGGGACTTGACTGCTTCTGCTTCAGCCTCTCCTCTCAAGGAGCTCAGTGCTGAATGTCCCCGGTCCTCTGCCTGCCCAGACATCCCTCTCAGTATTGTTCAGAGTTGTTTAGCTCTACCCCTTCCTTTTGTGGCTGCCCCATCCCTGGCAGTGTTCAAGGCCAGGTTGGACACAGGGGCTTGGAGCAAACTGCTCCAGTGGAAGGTGTCCCTGGCCATGGCAGGGGTTGGGGCTGAATGAGCTTTCTGGTCCTTTCCAACCAAAACCAGTCTGGGATTCCTGTTTCCTGTGTACATTTGAAGTCCCTTTCTGCACCGTCCAGCAGCCAGCACTGGCTCAGGGGTAAAGGAATAAGTTCTCCGTTTGCTTGGGAGCAGTGTAGAGCCCTGTGGCACAGCTGGCAGCTTTCCCGTGCTGAGCTCACCACTTGAGAGCCCCACGGGGCCGGGGTGATGTGGGCAGCCCAGGCAGGTCATCCATGGAGTCCGTGCAGCCTGGCTGTGAGTTCAGTGTGCTGGAGGGGTGTTGATCCAGAGCTGCTGACAGGTCAATAAGAGCAGATTGACAATGAACTTGGCGTCTTTCCTATGGGGAACCTGAGTGTTTGGTCCAGCCCTCCTTCCAGAGCACCTCAGCTTCATGGCCGGGGAGAAAGGGAAAGGGGGATCATGTTAGAGTTGTCATCATTCAGAACTGTGGATTCCTGAAATAAACCAATTTTCATTGAGTGAAATTAGAAGTGACATTTATGCAACAGTTAACAGCAACTAACTGCTGGGGGGGGATGTGTTGGCTTGCTTGTTCTGTTTATGGGCTTCATACAATTCCATCAATATTGATGCGTGATGCCTTTGATTTTGACACTAATCATTGCTATGAATTAAATTTGCAGCCATATAATTAGGACTGCTATTAATAGGGCCTCAAGCTAAGTACTGCTGTGCTAGTTGTCTTTTTCCTGATGGAAAACGGCATCCACGGAACTCAGCTAATGTGGTTTGCCTGGTGGATGCTGAGACTGATGTGGAAATTATGCTTGCTATATTTAGAGGAGCTTCTCTGAAAGGCAGATCATGGGCAGGGGCTGACTTGGAGGTTTCCCAAGATCCATATTGGAGTTGCCCTTGAACTTTTGCTGCTCTTAAGATATATGGACTTAAGTGGGAGAGAGACAGATTGCAGGAAGAAAAGAGTAACCCTCAGTTGGAAGGGCTGCTGTTGCGAGCCTTGTTTCCTTACATTTCACCTTCCCTTCCTCGTGCAAATCTTCCCATTTATTTCCCCAAGCCAGTGCTGTTTCAACTCTCTCTGTCCCTGTGCATGCCTGGTTTCATCTCATCAGGCTGAGCGCAGTGGCTGGGATAGCAGCATGGCTCACCAGTAAAAATCAATCTTGTATTTCATCCCAAGAGGTCTGCTTCTTATTAGATCTAATAAATCAGTGAAGTGCCCTTCATTCAGCTTGTCAATGGAGGACATTGTTTGTGATCAAGAATAAATAAATGTCTCTTCTATGTCTGACAGTGCACCGTCTATGTATTATTCTACCACCGTACTGTTCATGGCTGCTGTAGGAAAAATGCAGTTCCTGCAGTGGGAGCCTGTGGCCTTGCTATCCCGTGCCTGTGTTCACATGAGCTGGGTATGCTCCTGGATGTGTCCCAGGGAAAATCAGTAATGGTGACGTTGTTCCTGGCTTTCCCCCAGAGCTGAGTTGTTCCAGTGGCAGTAAGGCTTTGGTCTGGAGAGGGGCTTTGGACAAGGGCCTGCAGGGACAGGGCAAGGGGAATGGCTTGAACCTGCCCGAGGGGAGACTGAGATGAGCTCTGAGGCAGAAGCTCTTCCCTGTGAGGGTGCTGAGGCGCTGGCACAGGGTGCCCAGAGAAGCTGTGGCTGCCCCATCCCTGGCAGTGCTCAAGGCCAGGTTGGACACAGGGGCTTGGAGCAAGCTGCTCTGGTAGGTTGGTGGACGCTGCATCCAGGGGTTGCTCCTCCAAAGGAAGATGCTCTGCGCTGTCTGTCCTCAGCGTAAACTTTGGTGCTACAGGCAAGAACCCAGGTTTGGTTATTTCAGATGCCCTGAGGTGAAGGATAGCGTGTGCATCTCAAGTCGCACTGGATCCTCCTGGATAAATGGGTGTCAGGCATTGTTCTGAGCTCTTGTAACACCCTGTCCCAATGGCAGCTGCTCCGTACGTGGCTTGAATCAATTCTGGCGTGCAAGGTCACCCATGGAGAGCTGCTTGGGGTCTGTGTGCAGGAGAAGTGCTGCAGAAGAGCATGAAGTGCTGTAACTGCTTTTCGTGATTGGAAAGGCATGTTTACCTGTTGAGTTCTGGAGTGGGTGGTGTGTAATGTCTGACCTTGCTTTCAGTGAAAGCAACTGCTGCTTTTTCCAGGGACGGTGATAACTGAGGGGATGACGCACTCAGGGGAAAGGGGAACTTGAAGCGTGTTGTTCCATCTTGGTATGTGGTAGTTTTTATTCAGCTTGGCTGATTTAATTTC